GGCACACATCACGATCAGCTGGCACACATCACGATCAGCTGGCACACATCACGATCAGCTGGCACACATCACGATCAGCTGGCTCACACGATACTCACCGACAAGCGACGGAAGCGACGATCTTCGCAGCTTTGAAGGGATCGCTTGCCTGACCTGTAAACGATACACGATTTATTAAATACGATTGATTTTGAACAATTTAGTGTTTTCGATTGATTTTATAGGTTTATTTTACACGATTGATTGAGGCAAGCTAAAATTGAACGATTTTAGCTGTACGTAATTGATTGTGGACAATTGATTGTACACGAATAATCTCACACCGTTTTACGTTCACGACTGATTATAAACGAGTGATACCAGAAACTGTTATTGGAGATGGATAATACACTGTTAAGTATACAAACTGAAAGTACATAATTAATTGTACATGTTTGCTCTTTCGCTAACGTGACTGGTCATTATAATAAGTATAATGGTCGCTTATGGGATCATAACACGATAATAAAGGCCAGGTATTTACTAGAAACTAAACACTAAAACGACTAATGAAACTGGCGATCGAAGCATAAAGCATGTGGATAATTTTAGAAAATAGTTTTTATGCTACCTTGCTTGGGATGAATGAAATGTTCTTGAGCTCACATTACGTACAGCAGTGAGTACCGCATGTTATAGGTACAGCACGCACGGTACAGTACTAAGTACAGCAGTATGTACAGAAGTAATACAGCAGTAGATATACCACTTGGTACAGCCCTAGGTATAGCAGTAGGTATATGTAAAGTTATAGGTAGGACGCGAGTTACAGTACCTAGTATGACACTAATTACAGCACCAGCTACAGAAATAGATATAGTAATAGGTATCGCTTCAGCTACAGCATTAGGTACAGTAAGAGGTAGAACTTCAGCAATAGAATTACGTAAGATACAATGCAATGAAGTTTTTGGTACAGCAATATATACAAGAATCGGTAGGGCAATATGTATTGTAGAACACTCTGTATAGACGAAGGTACAGCACTTAGTATAACTCTTGGTACAGCAATAGAAACGGAACTACTTACATCACTATGTATGGCACTAGGTAATGAAGTTTTTGGTACAGCAATAGATACAATATTCGGTAGGGCAATATGTATTGTTATAACACTCTTTATAGTCGAAGGTACAGCACTTAGTATAATAACTCTTAGTACAGCAATAGGAACGGAACTACTTACAGCACTAAGTATGGTACTAGGTACAGCTCTAGGTACGGTACTAGGTACAGTTCTAGGTACTGCTCTAGGCACAATTAATGGTACAGTACTAGGAACAGCTTTTGGTTCATCTCAAGGCGCAGTTAATGCGCCAGAGCTCTAAGCACCCACTTGCCTCGCCATAAAAGTTTGCGACACTTAGCGCCGAGTTTTCAAAGTTTGAACCGAGTTCGCTGTTGAAGTTTATGATTTAAAAAAGTTCGCCCATCCACCAGCTCCGAATTGAATCTCAAACTTCAGGCGGCCCCGTAAACTTGAAAGAGACTGGCGCATTCGTGCCCAGATTGTGTGACCTCAGAGCGGCGTTTGGATGTGAATTGCCGCCGAGGGTATCGCCTTATAGGCTTATTAGCGGCGATTTAAGAGCGATTTGAGAGTGATTTAAAGGCGTTTTGGGGTCGATTTAGCGCCGGCTCATCGATGCTGACGCTTTTTACTACCTTGAGTTTTGGTTAGCAATGCTTCACTATGAGTTTAACTGGACTCTCTCTGGGGGCCAGTGTAGGGAGGAAGACTCACCCAACATGCATAAAGACCAGTGTAAAAGACAAATACACTCAAATGAGTGGGGTAGAAATAATAATAATGACGAGCATGGGTGTAACACCCCTCTCTGGGGATTAGTATGAGGAAGAACTAACCTTGGGGGCCAGTACGGGGGAACTGGCAGATGTTGTAGCGGGGGCCAGTTAGGGTGACGCCCTGACCGATGTTGTAGGTACAGGTGCGGGTGACGTGTGGGTGAGCTGTGTGACTCACCACCGACAGGTGCTGCGTCAGGTCTACCTATGGGGGAAGGAAAGAGCGATGGGGAATAACAAAGTTTAACTTTAAATACAAGGAGTAGGTAAAGGAAAATGGCAGACGAATGAAAGAAAACTGGTTATTGGGGGAAAGATCTGGGTGTAATAGGAGTAAAACTAGAAATTGTTTGAACTGGGGGAAAATATGATGTACGTAGGTTATCATTCTGTTTCTAGTGGCCTAATGAAAAGCGTATTGCATTAATAATACGTATCAACAGAATGCAGGAACGAACTCATAATTTCTCTCAGTCGAATACAAATTAAATTTATAACAGAATTAGTTTCGAAAAATTCGACTAAACTGGTAGCATAAATATAAAAGAACTAAAACAACAACTCAAAGACAATGGAAATAAAATTTTACATATTAATATTTACAGAATAATTCATAAACGAGAGGTCCATGAGACTGTTAAACATCTATGGGTATCCCATAAAATCGAAAGAATTCATTTCTCTTTCATTCAAATAAATGTTTCCTGTATTCATTCAAATAAATGTATTCCTTATTTAAAAGTTCAATTTTAATAATGAATAGTTCAAAATCTATCTATTTACCATTAATGAATGAATTATTTTAGTATAAGAATAGTCCAATTAAATATTTCAAGGGAGAGTCATGAATCGATCAGTAGAAAACATTTCGTTAATTCACTACCTAAAACTAATCAATCGTTCCGTATTTCTGGAAGCTGGCGATGGGCCCTCGAACTCTGCGACTTGAAAAACTAGGGCCAATAAAAAGCCTAATGGCTTCCTGAACTGAGACGAGGTATTAAAAAATTGAAAGGAAAATTGGTAGAAAAATTCCGTGAAATGAATAATTTGTACATGAATCAAACTATGAAGATTCCATTGCAAACAGTTTGACAATATAGTAAGAAAGCTGCTTATTGAAACAAATAAGACTGCTGACATGGATAGAAAATGTGGAAACATGGTCTTACCGGCTGTCATTAACCTGAAAAATCTGTTAAACTGCCACACCAGTTAACCTGCCACCGGCGCCGGATAAAAAACATGCATTATATAGTTGATCTTTTCCCCGGAGTTTACAGGCTCCTACTGGCTACCTTAATTAATTGGAAAGGTAGCCTGTAGGTGAAGGATAAACTACACAATTATCCTATCTTATAGAATGCTGACCTCCTCCCCGGTGTGCAGGTTGGTGGGGTAGTCTGTAGGTGCAGGATAAACTACACATGTGTTCAGGTACTAGCCTTCTTGCCGGTGTGTAGGTTGGTGGGGTAAGTACAGGATAAACTACACATGTGTTAAGGTACTAGCCTTCTCCTCGATGTGTGGGTTGGTGGGGTCGATCCTGTATGTGCAGGATAAACCATACATGTGTTGTGGCACTAACCTTCTCTTCGGTGTGCAGGTTGGTGGGGTAGTCGCCGGTAGGATAAACTATACATGTGTTGTGGTAGTACAGTGGTACTAACCTTCTCGCCGGTGTGCAGGTTGGTGGGGTCGACCCTGTATGCGTAAGGCGTCTCTGTGAGGGCGTAAAGGCCGTCACCGTAAGGGTAGACGCTGATCTGGCAGTTGTCGGTGAACTGCTCCGACAAGACCAGCTTACTTCTCAGGCTGCGTGGTTAATGTTGCAGTTATAGTGTGTGGAATGTGGTGATGATGATGCAGTTATTTTACGTGGAATGTGGTGATGGCGCAGTTATTTTACATGGAATGATGGAATGTGGTGATGGAGGCGTTATTTTACATGGAATGTGGCGATGACGCACTTATTTTACATGAAATGTGTTAATCTAGCAGTTATGTAACATGGAATACGTTAATGCCACAGTAACATTACATGGAATATGTTATTGTTTCAGTTATATCACATGGAATATGTTATTATTTCAGTTATATCACATGAAATTGAATATGCTATTGGAATATGGAATACAAGTTAATTTAATGCTAACGTGGTCTTAATTAAAAATGTATTGGCAATTATTTATGAGGTACTCTAAAATAAAATAAAGAATTTATTTTCAAATGCCATGGTCGTATTTTATTCAGACGCCCCACCAGAGTTAACTGTGACATAAAAGTTGACTATTTCTAATATTTTGTTGTCTTGAAAAGTAACCAATTATAGTCTACGAAGTCTATCACCATAAAGGAATACAATCTTAAAATGTATCATCAATTGACATTTCGCTTGAATCGCGTCCCATGTCAAAAGTCGAGATCGTCTGACGTTCGCTGGACGATGAAGGCAGTCTACAGCAATGACCTTTTCAACCCATTGATCTTTATCATTCATTCTGCTCTTCTCTGTCTGAATTTGTGCAAATGTCTCTTTTTTATTTCAAGCATCATGCTTGGATTCATCATGCCTTATTACTTATTACTGGATCTTAGACAGGTGATGGACACGTATTGTTGGATTGATGGCGTACTGAACATATGACCTCTAAGTTTACGCTTTAAAATGAGAGTCGACCGCATTTAAGCATAAGAGTGGACACTATACCTAATCTTACACAATAATGGGCACTTCTGAAAGGTTTTTCTCTACATATTCCACAAAAATTGCACCATTCGAGAGCTCTTTTTCTATCTGTAAAAATACAAGAACAGTATGCAGCTTAATTAATGAGTTGAGTAATAAATTCACTTTATTTCTATGGATTGCGCTATCACTTGACTTATTTGCTCGGTAAGATTTGTAAACCATTTTCCTGCATTCGCCGGAAAAGTAGCATTCAACCGCAAAATTTAAAGAACCTGAACGGACTGCTTGTTACGTTCATTACTTCAGGGGTCGGGCGACCCCGGGTCACGTGTACCGACCCCCGCAACCTAACGAACCCCACCCACTTGCGCATGATGGTACGGCAGGGGTCGGGGCAACCCCGGGTCACGTATACCGACCCTCGTAACTCAACGAACCCCACCCACTTGCGCATGATGTGGGGTCGGGGTCGGGGCAACCCCGGGTCACGTATACGGACCCACTCAACCCCCGTACCCAACGAACCCCACAACCCCACCCACTTGCGCATGATGGTGCGGCAGGGGTCGGGGCGTCCCTGGGTCGCGAAGTGGCGGCCCACGATAGCCTGTGCGCGGGTGTCACGCTGGTAGCTCTGCGACTCCAGAAACCGGTTCTGGTACTGAACCTGACCGTCCGCGAACCTGAACCTGAGAGGTTCGAACGTACAGGAACAGTTCACGAATAACTTGTGTGCGTACATAACAGCTGACTTGACTAAATACAAATAGAAAAAGTTAGGTAAAGCAAAATTTTTAAACATTTTCCGGGAGAATGTTATGAAGAAGTGCTTAGGTAATAGATCCATGTGGAAGAAATCAAAAGCCTGTTGAAAGAAGTTTCATTGCTTCAATGTGTAGCGCGCTTTACATTAAGAATAAATAAATACAATTTAATGTTAAACTTGACATTAGAACTCAAGTTATTAAATGTTAGGTATCGAGATAAAGAGGGGCAGAACTTTCCACATAAGGAACTCACCACGCAAACAAAGCGAAATTAAACAAACAAAATGAATTATTATCGTATATAAAATTAATGGGTTAAAGCATCAAATAGTGAAACACTTTCTGCTGTTAGCACTGACACATCATTCTACCAGGACAAACTTAGTAACGATAGCCCACACAAGGTCAAAGTGCGTGGTTATTTGGGAAAAGTTTTACTTATTTCTTTAATTGAGAGTTTTGCAAGCGCGATGGTGGTGTTGGAATGTTGTCACTGCAGCGCAAGCCTGAATGAAACTAACGAACTTTAACGAGCAGGGAATTCAGTGGGGAATTTGCCAAACTTTGTGGCATTCAGTGGGAAATTTGAAAAACTTTGAGGCATTCAGTGGGTAATTTGCAAAATTTTCGGGCATTCAGTGGGGAATTTGCAGAACTTAGGGGCATTCAGTGGAGAATTAGTAAAACTTTGGATAATTCAGTGGGGAATTTGTAAAACTTTATAGAAAAACAAAGACATGAATTCTACATAAAAATGTAGAGTAATAAAGAAAAAATGGCACGTACTGATTACATGGTCGTAATAACTGAACAGTCAGGGGGTTCTAAACTTAATAATTATTAAACGTAAATAAGACTAAAATTGGCACTTAAACCGAGTTATATTACTATAACTCATAAATATCATGGTCACAGATGCATGAATTATTATACAATATACATACACTGTATACAATATTCACATATAATATATATCGCTAGTGAAGTGTGTTGTATGCAACAACAGCAAAGAAACTGCAATTTTCGCACGACTAAAGTGATTACTGAACTATTTGAGAATGGCTGGAATCAAAGTCGCCGTGAACAAGATTTTTCTTCAACGGAAAATGCTAGCAGAGACCTGGAGATAAAATATTAACAAATAAAATTGCATATAAATTTGAAGGGCGAGTGTTAAATGACTATCAAAAAATGTCCAGGAAATCGTGAAAAAAATACAGAAGTAAGAAAGTCGTCAACTGTATAAATGTTTTTCGTACGCTTCTTTATGGCCGCTTTGCAGTTAGTTGTGAGTCAGGCATACAAGATTTTCAAGCATACAATTCCACGTCTAATTACAAGTATCGATACTGAACCATATGTAAATATTGCATATCAAAATTATCGCTGAGTAAATGAAGTATATAACATTTTAAATACCTATACGTGCGTTAAATCTAATTCGTGGGTTAACTATAGATTTTCCATCCGAGCTTCTAGCAAGCTGCTTAAGCCAACAAACGCCAATTTATTAAAATACTTCCTTTCTTATACTTATTATTCACTAGGTGTTTATTCACTCTAATGTTCAAAAAGTCATGCATGGGCTTCTATCAAACTGCTTTACAAAGTGATTTGTCATTCCCCCGCTTCCACGTACATCAAGTTTACGGTCATGTGGAGCCACGGTCTCTTCAGCTAAATAACTCAACCCGATGAGGCCTTTTTAAGCGAAACTGACATTCTCAAATTCCGCAATTTTACCCAGAGTCTTGTGGAAAAACGTTAAGAAACTGCACGTCAGTAGCAATACAATTCATTTACAATACATACCCAAGTATTTACAATACATACCCAGGACCCGAATTCAAATCGTACACGTACCAAATCGTACAGACCACACATAAGTGAAAAAACGCACCTGTGTAGCAGGGCGGACCCGTCGAATAAGTGTCGGTACATGTCCGTCCCCACCTGCATCCTGCCCGGACCGTTGCGGATCAGAGTCCCGTTCAGCCACCGCGGCACCTCCCCTGAGAAGGGAAGACAGGGACTCTTGTTAGTGAAAGGTGGTTCTGAATAGCAGCAGGTGGCTCCATTGATTAAAGGTGCTCCAGATTACTAGCATGAAATCCTAATTAGCGGCTGGGAGACCGGGATTGATATAAGATATGTATATGCGCTGCAGCCTGATCTGGTCGCTGCTAGACGCAAGAATCATCAGTTTATCTTCAATATCCAAGTATTGTAGTACACCTGCCCCCAATACCCCATCATCCAACTAACAATTCATTCACCTCATTCTGCACCCACCACGCCTCATCACACACCTGCCGCGAACTTATCACCCATCACACCTACCTATAGTTACCCCACTGAGTGGGACATGCTCTGGATGGGTGCAGGTGCGCAGCCAGATGGTGGGGTCACAGTTGGGGTAGTAGTTGATCTGTGCAGCTGGAGCAGCAGTTGGTGCAACTGCTGGTGCATCAGCATGGGATGAAACTGATGATGAGGCTTGCGCACCAGTTTTTACCGCAGTTGGTGCGACAGTAGGTACGTCAGTTGGTGCAGCGGCTGCGGTAAATGTTAATTTTAATGTACATGAAAACTTTCATTAACTAAATACACCGTAATTAAAATAGTAAATATACGATTATTTCAAAGCCATGCTAAAATAAATATAATCTTGATATCACTACAGGCTATGAAGCATCGTCAGTACAACAAAAGAAGCTCTACGACGTAAGTACAGTGCTAGAACAGCATTATTACTGAGCTCTACATACTATCCTCGTGCAACTAAGCTGGTTCTGTTGTGTTATATAATATCAAACACAAACCAAATCATGCAAAATTAATAGTAGAATTTAATGAAAAATTCATGCACTGAGAAAAAAACGTCGCCAATTCTCAACCGCATGAAGCGATAGCGGTATTTTTAAATTAGGTTGAACAGAAACGCATAATGCAGAGGCATTCATGGTTGAAGGCTGCCAAGCAATACAATAAATTTGGATCATTTAAGTGATGGATGAGAGTGTTACGTTTCGTTAGTATTGGGTGATGGATGTGAGTGTTACTTGCTGTTAGTCTTTAATTCGGCGTTGATTAATACTTGCTATGGATGACGGGTGGCCATTGTACTGAACCGTGTTAGTTTTGTAAGCAAATTATCGTTAATCAAGACTCTGATTGTACTTTCCGTGATTATGTCCAAATCAATGTTTTTTTCGCGTTTTTGTTGTGTTCAAAATATATATCGTGTGGGTCTGCGGTAATTTTTTGGCAGACAATTCGACGACTGGAATTGTCACTGAAGTAGGTTAGGATATGGTGACTAATGACTTTCAAATTAATTTGGTGTTAGTTGGACAAATATAATGCCAATAGGCGATGCAAAAAGTCGACAGTTAAAGTAAAGTTTACACTTACATATAGAAGAGTAAAATGTAAATGTAAGAACATACTAAACTATCTCGACAATGAATGTAATTAAAGAGTTGGCCCACTCATAGAAAACCGAGGTAGAGTTGAAAGGAAAGTAAAAACCTACATCAACAGTAGAAGTTTAGAATTGGTCTTAAAAAGTAGTAGTAATAGGAAAATGATGAGGAGAACAAGAGGCTGCCGTGCGTTCTAATCGAAATTTGATTCCCACTTTTCAAATTTTGATTGTTTACCTTGCCTCAAGTCAGAAAAGACATTATTTTTTTATTCAATGGAAATATATTACTAATAAAATTATTATAATGATTATATTTATTATTGCTATTACTATTGTTTTAATTATTATTACAATTATAATTATTGTTATTGTTATTACTATCATTATTATAAATCGTCTCACGCCCTGCAACATCCGTCGTAGGGAGCTTACACTGATCGTAGTTACAAGAATCTACGGGAACCACGCGCACGTTAAGGCGCGGTGATCAAAGCTTATTGAGATGCCGTCTTGGGATCAATGGAAATGGAAGAGAAGCCGACCGCACTCTATATAAATACAAAAATTATTGTATGATAAGATAAGACTATCATTATATGATAAGATAGGGCTATTATTATATGATAAGATGCGAATATCATTATATGTATGATAAGATACGACTATCGTTATATGATAAATTACGACTATCATTATAATATAAGATACGACTATCATTATATGATAAGATACGACTATCATTATATGATAAGATTGACTATCATTATATTGATAAGATACGACTATCATTATATGATAAGATACGACTATCATTATATTGATAAGATAAGACTATCATTATATGATAAGATGCGACTATCATTATATGATAAGATAAGACTATCATTATATGATAAGATACGACTACCGTTACTCACAGGGAGGCGCGCGGCCGAGCAGCAGCTACAGGGCTGAGGAATTGAGAGTTTCAGTGTATAGTTATGGCAGATTTATCGGCGGCCACGACATGATAACTTACAGATACGGTAGGTTAATCGGCGGCCACGACATGATAACTTACAGATACGGTACACTGTTAGAAAAAAACGGTGAAAAAAACGGTCCACTGGCATTCTAGTGGCCGGTGGCTCCGTGAAAATAAACTGTTTCCCCGTTTTTATCAGATGTTATACGGATTTCTAGTGTTAAATTAGAATAAAAACGGCGACACGATGTTTTATTTCACGTTCCGACCGATCACTGAAACGCCGGTAATACCGTTAACGGTAATTTTTCTAACAGTGTTAGGTTAATCGGTGGCCACGGCATGTTAACTTACATTTATGGCAGATTAATAGGCGGCCACGACATGATCATCTACAATTGCGGCAGATTAATCGGCGGCCACGACATGATCATCTACAATTACGGTAGATTAATAGGCGGCCACGACATGATCATCTACAATTACGGCAGATTAATCGGCGGCCACGACATGATCATCTACAATTACGGCAGATTAATTGGCGGCCACGACATGATCATCTTCAATTACGGTAGGTTAATAGGCGGCCACGACATGATGACTTACAGTTACGGCAGATTAATCGGCGGCCACGACATGGTCACCTGCACTTACTTCAAGTTTATCAGCAACCACGATGTGATCACTTAAAGTTATGGCAGGTTTATCGGCGGCCATGAAATGATCACTTAACATGACATAAATTGCTCGTTATTTGTACAACATTTCACTCATTACTCGGAGTGTGTATATCGTAAGGTTTCATACACGAATTACTTGTTGCTGTGATCCATCAAAGTGTCGACGTCTTGTATTGCACGTTTAGTTCAACTTTTAACGGCCGAGGACTCGAAAAGAATAGTTTCCTTCTTGCGTCGAATGAAATAAAGTTGAACGCAATTTTTGTTATTATTCTGATCTCGGAAAATCGAAAGGACCTGTCAACTTAAGTAACATTACGCGCGCATTGAGTAGCCAGCCAACATTTGTGAATTGGATTTCAAAGAGGATGTACCTTTTATGATTGTTGGATTTTTCGTAGAACTTAAGACCATCGTAGAACTTAAGACCATCGTAGAACTTAAGATAATCGCAGAACTTAAGACCATCGTAGAACTTAGGACCATCGTAGAACTTAGGACCATCGTAGAACGTAAGACCATCGTAGAACTTGAGACCATCGTAGAACTTAAGACCATCATAGAACTTAAGACCATCGTAGAACTTAAGACCATCGTAGAACTTAAGACCATCGTAGAACTTAAGACCATCGTATAACTTACGACCATCGTAGAACTTGAGACCATCGTATAATTTAAGACCAACGTAGAACTTGAGGCCAGCGTAGAACTTAAGACCATCGTAGAACTTAAGACCATCGTAGAACTTAAGACCATCGTAGAACTTAAGACCATCGTAGAACTTACGACCATCGTAGAACTTAAGACCATCGTAGAACTTACGGCTGAACGTAGAATTAACGACCAAAATATCACCGAAATCGAATCAATGTTATAGCGTCAGCACACAAAATCGTTAACAAAATCAATAACTGCAACATGAAC